ATTAAGGTGACTTACAGTATTTGCTTAGTGTGACGCCTCATAATTATTATTAATAAATAATAATTAAATTCATTATACAGAAATTTAAAAATGTCTTAGAAATTATAATTTAAACAATAAAATGCAAATAATAAGCATAGAGTTCAAAAATATCCATTTGGAATATTGAATATTATATATATTAGTAAACGCATAAAATGTCTCAAAAAATCTCTAAATTTATTAAAAACCTGCTTAAAATGTTCAAAATATATCAAATCATATAAATACAAGGCGATTATATTGCAATAACAAAGATAAATAACATTTGTAATATAATAGGAAAAATGGATTAAAATTTTCTAAGTTGATGAAGGTGTTCGTGTAATAATTGGAAAATATCTAAGTTAATGAACGTGTTCTTGTAATGTTCCCTTATATTGGGGCGTTGTCGGAGACACATACCCAAGGTTGTACATATATATGGGGTGGTCGGCTGACCGACTGCTAGTACTAAGGTTGCACAATGACTAGTCCTATATTAGGGACTTAACATAGTAAGGTCTGACGAACCAAAGCATTAATATAGAAGGTCTCTATGATGCATAAGCATTATGATAGCAGAGTTATGACTTGAAGTCCCATATGAATAAGACATACAGTAGTATGGTCTATGAAATAAAGCAAATATGTGGAAGGTCTCAAATATGTAAAAGCATTATATTGAAAGAAATGGGACTTGAAAAGGATTATTATAGTGGCGTGTAGGTTGCTTCGCAGCCTCTGAGACCGAGGTAAACTTGGACTCACTAACCGATGTGTCCTAGACATATCATCTTAGTGCCGGTGGTAAGCGGGTTTGTTGTAGCAATACGACTTGCCCGTGGACATCGCACACCCCTACCGGTTGTGGGCGGCGTCTTAGCGCATAGCGTTATGATACGTCGGCTATCTTTCGGATTAGGGTGAGTGTGTTTGGTAGTACTTTTAAGTGCAGCAAGCATACTCAACTTCATGTCTTAGTGCAATAGCGCTATGATACGTGGAGTTTTGGCTACTGACGTCTTAGTGCCGTACTACTATGATACGTCGGTGGTATTTTTAGTTAACAACATTATCAAATTTTGTTACCAAAGTCGATAGGGATCATGTGGGTGTGTTGTGAGGGGGCGCCATCCGTATGATAGTTGCATTGATGCTTACTGCTACTTGCAGTATTGCGTCTTGTGATGGATCTGCGGGTGTACTGCACCTGATTCGATGCATCTTGTGTGGTTCTGGTCGATGGAGGTATGCGGGTGGTGATGTCTGCTGGGACTGTATGGGGGACCTTGGGATGGTGTAAGCCCGACGATAGTCGTATTGATGCTTGTTGCATTCTGTAGCATTGTATCTCTACGATGGTTGTTTGGCGGGTCGCTATTCTCAATGGCGCTCTCTGCGTCTTGGTTTGACTCACAACCTAAGTAGCTTTGCCCAAGTCGGGTCCCTTCATAGCGGGGCTGCAGACTGTCTGCCCTCCATGATGTTTTATATAACAACTTAATAATATATCTCTATAAAGTTCCCACCTTTGAGAGATTGAAGGCAACTTGTTGGTGGGTGAGACAAACATGATCGAAAAATGCATATACTCAACGTCAGTGACACAAACCCTTTCTGATGGCGAATTATTAATATTATCTTATAACTGCCTATTGGCTATATCTGCCATTGTATTGGTTGGTGGAGCATATGTGTTGACCTCATGCGGGTGGTAGCTGGAGGGAGAATCTGAGGAGGCTCTCAAGGCTGCGGCCGAAAGCCGCGCAACGTGGGACCCCATTCCCTTGAGGTGAGCGGTAGACTCATGACACGCTCTGCGGCCAATTGGCCGTGCTGACCATGCAATTGGTAGTGATGCCTTACACTTACATCACGTCTGCAGGAACGGCGGTCTGGCAGGTGGTGGCGCTCACGGAAGGCTTTTTATGGTCAGTGTGCCTATTGTTGCCTAACCCGTGTGACGTACATTCACTGTGACTGGATTTGATCGTATTCTGTATGGCGTTTACACGCATTGACATGCGCGACTTCGGTCGATGTTTGTGCTTACGCACTATCAAGGGGCCAAGTCCTCTTTTACTGGTTCGCCAGTTATTTTGCTGTGGACTACGGTCCAGTTCCCAACTTTGCGTACCCTTCGGGGGAGCGCATTAAAATGGTTGGCGCTCACCGTGCGCGGCGTGTGTGGGGCCGTGTACCTCCTCCACATTTTTTTTAAAATGTGGGAGAGCGAAGTCCTTGTAACTGGTATTTGATATAAATATTGTGAGCCTTTTCCAAGCGGGAAGGGTTATTAAGGAATTGACTGTTGTGAACCAGATACAAGTGGAATAGGGACAATTTATTGTTCTTAACCTTTTTGAGCTCTGTCTTCGTGAACGGGGTTCTTTGACTTATAAGACTCTACCAACAGCTTTCGATTGCTCTCGTGAATATTCATTCTTCCAAGATACACCTAAAAGAACTAAGTTACTATACAAACACAACGTAGAAAAGGGTCCTAACTAAGACGATCACGCCATAAATTTATTAAACGGCCTATATTTAAACCTTTAGAAAGATCAAGTTATACTGGTCACGTAAATTAGATATATTTATATATCTTACAGATATAGATTCAAAAGAAATACAAGCATAAGTGGATATATAGTAGAAAAGAAAAAAGATGGGGGGGGGGTTCGTTACAATTTGGTGCCGTGACCAGGATAGAGGTTAAATTTTAAATAGGAGGCCGGTAATATAAAATTATGAGGTAGGCTATATGCCTACAATTTGTTGTCCGTGAAATGGAGAGGTGTCTTGGAGAGTGGTGTTTGCTGGGGGTGGTTGAGAGTCTGGGGGTGGGGCTTAAATATTAAAATTGAGTAATAATATAGGAGGTGTGTGCATAACGGAGCGAAATAATAAAAAGTGAAATAAGTGGAAAGACTCAATTAAACTAAGTGAAGGACACAACAGGTGTAAAAAAAAAAAAAAAAAAAAAAAAAAAAAAAAAAAAAAAAAAAACTGCAATACTATATATTATAAAGTGAAATAAGTGGAAAAACTCAATTAAAGTAAGTGAAGGACACAAAAAGTGTAAAAAAAAAAACGTGGTAATAAAAATTAAAAATGGCTAAAAATAAGAAAAAATCAACCTCAATTAAGGCTAAGCCTAAAGATGAGATGAAAATGCTTCAGAAATTAATTAAGAATGCAGTGAAAACCTTTGAGTTTAAAATAAAGGATCTTGAGGAAAAATTTATTAACCAAACGAAAGATTACCAAATTAAAATAAATCAAGGAGAGGTGTCCGGGGCGAGCACCTCTCATGTAAATGATCCTAGACAAAATATTGTATATAATGTACATAATGTAACAATAGAAAAGCCGAAATTTGGAAATGGAAATACTCATCCAGTATCATTTTTGGAAGATCTCACCAATTATTTAAAGAAAGTTCCATCTAATGGTCTCGAAATTTTGATAGCACAAGAGTGCTTAGTAGGTGAAGCCAAGTATTGGGCTCGCATTAATAATGTGCGTTGGACAACTTTTGATGATTTTAAAGCTGACTTCCTAAGAGTGTTTTGGGGTGAAGAAGAACAAAATAAAGTAAAGAGATTCCTTGTGCAAAATAAATGGAATAGAAGTACACACCCCACCATGGTTAGTTATTTTCTTTATGTTGTTGAGAAGGCACAAACATTATCATATCCGATACCTGAAAAACAATTAGTAACTGATGTCATCAGACATTATCCTAAAACTGTGCAGCAATTATGGAGAATAGCTAAAATTGAGACAATAATAGACACGACAGATTTCTTAAGAAACTTAGATGACATCGACAAACAAGATGAAGGTCGTGAACCTTACTATAATGAGAAAAGGAGGAAGTTTAATAATAATACGGAGCAAAAACATAAAGAAATACAACAATCATACAAAATATGGCGTAAACCCGAAGAGGGAAAAAAGAAGGTTAATGAAGTACATGAAATACATTTCACTAATGACCAACCTGATGTTACGGCCCCTGAGCCAAATTTAGAGCTGTAGAGGTCGAACTAGTTCCCAATTCGACCCCTTACAATGTAAAAGGGAACAAAGCATTAAATATGTTATTAAAACTGGGTTGGCGACCTGGTCAAACATTGGGTAAAAACAATAGAGGGTTGCGAAAACCTATTACTTTAAAAGCGAATTTTAACAGAGAAGGCCTTGGTTATAACGACAATGTAAATAGCATATTAAACACCTTAAAAGCCAGGTCGGACTTGCCCATAACGGAGTTATTCGTGCAAACCGTCTTCGAGGAAGACGAAGATAAATATCAAAGGGAATTTATAGGGAATATGAGATCTGAAATTAAAGTTTCAATATTTGACAAAGAAATAGACGCGCTCCTTGACACTGCGAGCGATGTTACATGCATTTCAGAAAGTTTATATTTACAAATTAAAGATAATAATCGTAAAATATCAATAATGCCAGTTAAAGCAATGCAAATAAAAGGTGCTGTTGGGCAGCGCAGCACAAAAATACAACAGATGATCATATTGCCTATAAAGATAGATGAAGTAGTCTTTGAAACACAAACTTTAATTGTAGGTAATTTAATAAGACCTTTAATATTAGGCTTTGACTGGCTCAAGAGAAATAAAATATTGATTGATTTGAGAAATACTACTGTTGGAATAGAATTTAAAGTGAAAAACAAAGACTACTTTATACCTTTCAAATATAATAATAAATCTGTATTACATAATAACTGCATCAAACAATGTACCGATGATCCCTTAATAAATATAAAAATAGGATCTACATTGGAGGTCTCTGAAAGGGCAAAACTTAGTAAGGTTTTGGAAAAGCATAAGAATATGTTTTCGAGCAAATTGGGAAGAGCCAATTGCTATGAGCATAAAATTGAAATGATCGATGATGAACCTATAGTTACTAGGTCCTATCCCATTCCATATGCATATAGAGCGAAAATGGAAGAAAAGTTAAATGAAATGGAACAAGCTGGTATCATCACAAGGACATCAACGCCTTACAGTAGTCCATTGACATTCACTCTTAAAAAAGACGGCTCAATTAGAGTTCTGCTTGATGCCAGAAGCATAAATAAGAAAATGGTTGCAGAAACAGAGAAACCACCTATACAATTAGATATTTTGAATTCATTTCACGGAGCGAATTATATCACTACCATTGACTTAAATAATGCATATTTTCAAATTCCGATAAATAAAGATGGTAGAAAATATACTGGATTCACATTCAATGGAAAGTCATATGTATATAATGTTTTGCCGCAAGGATTAAAAACATCAGTAGGAAGCTTTAGCAGAGCCATGAATTTAATATTAGGACCAGAAGTCCAAGAATTTTGTGTGAACTATTTAGATGATCTAGCCATTATTACAACAGGAACGTTAGATAAACATTTGGAGCACATTGATATTGTTTTAAGTAAATTGAACAAAGCTGGCTTAACGTGTAACTTGCAGAAATGTGAATTTATTTGTAAAGAAATTAAAATGCTGGGTTTTATAATTTCAACAGAAGGCATAAAGACAGATCCCGATAAGATTCGAGCGATCCAAGAGTTTCCAGCACCTAAAAAGATTAAACAATTAAGGGCCTTTTTAGGTCTATGCAATTTTTATAGAAGGTTTATACCAAATTACAGCGAGAGCATAATACCGCTCTGTGAATTACTTAAAAAGGGACGAAAGTTCCAATGGAGCGGTAAAGAACAGAAGGCATTTGATTTTATAAAACAACAATTTATTAATACAATACAATTGCATCATCCAGACTTTAATAAGCCGTATTATTTACAAACAGATTGTTCCGGTGTGGGTATGGCCGGAGTACTATATCAGATAGATGATAATAATGAAATGAGAATTTCAGGCTATCATAGTAAAGCCTTAAAAGGCCCCGAATTAAATTGGTCTGTTACTGAACAAGAGTTTTATGCTGTAATAAGCTGCCTAAAGAAATTTGAAACATATTTGAGGGGCAGTAAAGTAATAATACTAACTGATCATAAAGCATTATTGTTTATTAATAATATGAAGTTATTCAATGGTAGAGTAACCCGATGGATTTTGTATATAGAACAATTTAATTATGAAGTACAGCATATATCGGGTAGACGTAATATTGTTGCAGATGTGCTATCACGTTATCCTCCTGATGGCGATTTAATACAAGAGGATAAAAATAATAGTTTAGAAATTGCTTACACAGAGAGCGAACCGAATATTGAGTTGATAGAAAAATTAAAATCCTTAACAGTATATCAATTACAAGATTCAGAGTCGTTGGCTATTATTGAAAAGTTAAAGACATTAAATACTTCCATAATAAAACAAAACAATAAATTTAAAAGGTATAGTTTGAAAAATGATGTATAATATTACAAAACGAATTTACAAGAAGTAATATATTTACCTAAAGCATTGAGACAAGATATTATAAATCAAGTGCATGTCGAAATGGGTCATCAAGGACCCTATAAGGTAATTAAATATGTGAGAGACAGATTCTTTTGGAAAGGTTTAACAAAAGATATTAAAAACCAATTAAGGGCTTGTCATTTATGTTAGTTATCTAAGAAAAGCAATATAACATATGTGGGTCCCTGCAAATCTATAATAACAGAAAACATTGGCGATATAGTCATGGCAGACTTATATGGACCGCTTGTATCAGGTACCTTTGGGTACACTTTCATATTTATCATTCAAGATTCATTCAGTAAATTTATCAAATTATATCCTTTAAAACAGTCAACAGCAAAGTCTGTTGTAACAAAAGTAAAGCATTTTGTTGAGATTATAAAGCCCAAGGCAATAATGACAGATAATGGAAAACAGTTCGTAAGTAATCACTGGAAACAATCAATGAGTGAATTAAATATAAAGCCAATATATACCACAGTTAGAAATCCTAGACCAAATACAACAGAGCGAGTAAATAAAGAGTTGAGCAGATTATTTAGGACGCTTTGTCATACTAACCACAAAGATTGGGCGTTAATATTGCCGAAATTAGAAGAATTGTATAATAATTCTTATCACAATAGTACAGGCTTCACGCCTTGTGAGATTCTTTATGGTGAGTCTAATGAGATGTCTTTTGACAAAGTAATTTCCAAAAGTAAAGACAAACATAATGTCGGACAAATTAGACAACAAGTGCGTAAAAATTTAAAAGAGGCAAGTCGAATAAGAAACACAAAATTTGATAAGCGAAATAGATTAATAAAATATAATATTGGTGACTTAGTAAAAATTTCAAGATCTAGTAGATCAGACGCTGATAATAAAGTTATGAGTAAGTTCAATTTGGCATATGAAGGACCTTATGTAATAGCAGCCGTACCATTTGACAATGTATATACCTTAGCAAATCCAGAGACAAACGAAATTAGAGGAATTTTCAATGCTATTCACTTATTAAAATATTTTAAATAATAATTTCTTTTTGTATAAATTAGAGTAATTAAATAAATATTGTAACATAAAAGGGTTTTGTGGGTGGCCCATGGAAATAATTGTTTAAGTTAAAGGTCTAAAATTATTAAAGTTATGAGCAAGAGATTTGTTATATGATAGTAGAACGTTATTAATATATAATGAAGAGTTGTAAATATAGATCGCAAGATAATTTTGTAATCATTTTTATTAAATAAATATGGGAGTTGGGTCAGGGCGAATGGCTCAAACACATTTATCCTATGTGGTATCGAACTGACCTCAACAAATATCCAACTGGATTGTATGCACATAAAGTGTGACACTATCGAAATAATGTTTCAAAGATTTAAAGATAAATTAATAAAATAAGAAATCGACAATTGACTGCAAACTTTATTAACAACACGATATACAATAACTTGAATTATGGTGTTATCACATTGTGATAATTGTGGTTGAAGGGGTGTTGGTGGCGGCCATTCTCTGGGGCAGGGGGATTTGATAACATATGACGTATTGTAACAGATTAAAAGAGGAAAGAACAGATATATAAACAATTATTTGAGTGTAGTGTATATGCTCTCAACATACTAAAATTTTATATTAACGACTCCACTATGTGGATCATTAACATAAAATTTGGGGGTGGATTGTGACGCCTCATAATTATTATTAATAAATAATAATTAAATTCATTATACAGAAATTTAAAAATGTCTTAGAAATTATAATTTAAACAATAAAATGCAAATAATAAGCATAGAGTTCAAAAATATCCATTTGGAATATTGAATATTATATATATTAGTAAACGCATAAAATGTCTCAAAAAATCTCTAAATTTATTAAAAACCTGCTTAAAATGTTCAAAATATATCAAATCATATAAATACAAGGCGATTATATTGCAATAACAAAGATAAATAACATTTGTAATATAATAGGAAAAATGGATTAAAATTTTCTAAGTTGATGAAGGTGTTCGTGTAATAATTGGAAAATATCTAAGTTAATGAACGTGTTCTTGTAATGTTCCCTTATATTGGGGCGTTGTCGGAGACACATACCCAAGGTTGTACATATATATGGGGTGGTCGGCTGACCGACTGCTAGTACTAAGGTTGCACAATGACTAGTCCTATATTAGGGACTTAACATAGTAAGGTCTGACGAACCAAAGCATTAATATAGAAGGTCTCTATGATGCATAAGCATTATGATAGCAGAGTTATGACTTGAAGTCCCATATGAATAAGACATACAGTAGTATGGTCTATGAAATAAAGCAAATATGTGGAAGGTCTCAAATATGTAAAAGCATTATATTGAAAGAAATGGGACTTGAAAAGGATTATTATAGTGGCGTGTAGGTTGCTTCGCAGCCTCTGAGACCGAGGTAAACTTGGACTCACTAACCGATGTGTCCTAGACATATCATCTTAGTGCCGGTGGTAAGCGGGTTTGTTGTAGCAATACGACTTGCCCGTGGACATCGCACACCCCTACCGGTTGTGGGCGGCGTCTTAGCGCATAGCGTTATGATACGTCGGCTATCTTTCGGATTAGGGTGAGTGTGTTTGGTAGTACTTTTAAGTGCAGCAAGCATACTCAACTTCATGTCTTAGTGCAATAGCGCTATGATACGTGGAGTTTTGGCTACTGACGTCTTAGTACCGTACTACTATGATACGTCGGTGGTATTTTTAGTTAACAACATTATCAAATTTTGTTACCAAAGTCGATAGGGATCATGTGGGTGTGTTGTGAGGGGGCGCCATCCGTATGATAGTTGCATTGATGCTTACTGCTACTTGCAGTATTGCGTCTTGTGATGGATCTGCGGGTGTACTGCACCTGATTCGATGCATCTTGTGTGGTTCTGGTCGATGGAGGTATGCGGGTGGTGATGTCTGCTGGGACTGTATGGGGGACCTTGGGATGGTGTAAGCCCGACGATAGTCGTATTGATGCTTGTTGCATTCTGTAGCATTGTATCTCTACGATGGTTGTTTGGCGGGTCGCTATTCTCAATGGCGCTCTCTGCGTCTTGGTTTGACTCACAACCTAAGTAGCTTTGCCCAAGTCGGGTCCCTTCATAGCGGGGCTGCAGACTGTCTGCCCTCCATGATGTTTTATATAACAACTTAATAATATATCTCTATAAAGTTCCCACCTTTGAGAGATTGAAGGCAACTTGTTGGTGGGTGAGACAAACATGATCGAAAAATGCATATACTCAACGTCAGTGACACAAACCCTTTCTGATGGCGAATTATTAATATTATCTTATAACTGCCTATTGGCTATATCTGCCATTGTATTGGTTGGTGGAGCATATGTGTTGACCTCATGCGGGTGGTAGCTGGAGGGAGAATCTGAGGAGGCTCTCAAGGCTGCGGCCGAAAGCCGCGCAACGTGGGACCCCATTCCCTTGAGGTGAGCGGTAGACTCATGACACGCTCTGCGGCCAATTGGCCGTGCTGACCATGCAATTGGTGGTGATGCCTTACACTTACATCACGTCTGCAGGAACGGCGGTCTGGCAGGTGGTGGCGCTCACGGAAGGCTTTTTATGGTCAGTGTGCCTATTGTTGCCTAACCCGTGTGACGTACATTCACTGTGACTGGATTTGATCGTATTCTGTATGGCGTTTACACGCATTGACATGCGCGACTTCGGTCGATGTTTGTGCTTACGCACTATCAAGGGGCCAAGTCCTCTTTTACTGGTTCGCCAGTTATTTTGCTGTGGACTACGGTCCAGTTCCCAACTTTGCGTACCCTTCGGGGGGAGCGCATTAAAATGGTTGGCGCTCACCGTGCGCGGCGTGTGTGGGGCCGTGTACCTCCTCCACATTTTTTTTAAAATGTGGGAGAGCGAAGCCCTTGTAACTGGTATTTGATATAAATATTGTGAGCCTTTTCCAAGCGGGAAGGGTTATTAAGGAATTGACTGTTGTGAACCAGATACAAGTGGAATAGGGACAATTTATTGTTCTTAACCTTTTTGAGCTCTGTCTTCGTGAACGGGGTTCTTTGACTTATAAGACTCTACCAACAGCTTTCGATTGCTCTCGTGAATATTCATTCTTCCAAGATACACCTAAAAGAACTAAGTTACTATACAAACACAACGTAGAAAAGGGTCCTAACTAAGACGATCACGCCATAAATTTATTAAACGGCCTATATTTAAACCTTTAGAAAGATCAAGTTATACTGGTCACGTAAATTAGATATATTTATATATCTTACAGATATAGATTCAAAAGAAATACAAGCATAAGTGGATATATAGTAGAAAAGAAAAAAGATGGGGGGGGGTTCGTTACATTAGGAATTATCAAACGTGCCCTTTTTGACATACTCCGACTTTATGATTTCTTATTTACGCGAATACAACAAATTTATCGCGTTAATTTTAACTATTTTTTATTCCCGACTTTTCGTTCACAAGGAGTGGGGGATCTGATTGATATTCAAAAGAAGAGCTTTTTTAGGTAGCCGAGATAACTATGAAATCACGACGCCAAAAACCCGTGACCATGACCGTGGGTACTGTAAAGCACACGAAACCTGTGGATTTTATAAGTTCAAATTAAACGTAATAAAATCGGTAAAATTTATTTTTGTATTGTTTCTTTTTGTTTGTGTAACTACACTAGGTTTTTTTACTTTACCATGGAGGCAATTTTCATACATGAATTTCACTAGGATAAACATCCAAACTCGGAACTATTCTTTGTGGGCCATACAAACACTTATTCCGTGCGGGATCGAAACCCGCGGCTCTCGGTGCCGTAACTCATTACTAAGCTACTGCGGCACGTAGTCGTCAAATGAAAAAAATTGTTTCAATTATCATTCTGATTTCCCACAACTAAGGGAAGAGCCCGATTTATTCTGCATCCCGCATTTTCTCTTCGTTTTCTATT